CAAATCTATGTAATTTGACCTCTATTAAGTGATACCATGTACACAATACAGCTATGCCATTTTCTATTTTAGCGTAATTGCCTTTGTAACTAACTGGTTTACCTTTATTATATTTTGCCAATTGAAGTACTCTTCCGATTTTTGAATTGTCACTCCCCCGAAATGCACATATATCACCTACTAAAATGTATTCTGACACTGTTGGTTGAGTACTATTGTGACCTATGCATGTAGGCATTGGGTGGAGTGGGTCCTGTGATTCATAAGGTTGTTTTGCCCGTACCCTGAAAATTCTGTCTGTAGACACCCGTTCTGAGTCCTGAAATAACCAGATAGCTGTGCTCTTGTGGATGTGAACCCTTTTGCCTTGTAAATTAACTTCAAAAAATTTGGTATGATCATGACTCGTCTTTCTTTAGGTAAACTGTAAGCCCTTTTGATGACTGATCTTTTTCATAAATGAGAGATGCTTTTTGTGATACAGCTTTGTCCTTAATGGTATCGTCAACCATGTTGTTTTCATGCATTACCTTGATTTCTCTCTGTATATTAGATATAGAATCAGCCGATGACACAAATGGATCTTCTTCCATTACCACATAATTCTCTCCCTCTTTCTCGTCATTCCTGTCATCTTCATTGTCGTCATTATCATCATCTTCTTCATCTAATTTGATGTCTTGTGAATTGAAATGTATTGGAGGTATGTCCCACATGTTTCCCTTTTGTAGATCGTCTGCCATTCCTAACTCCTCCATAAATTCTTTAGCACTTGCTTCTGCTCTTGACAGTGCCTTCTGTATGTTTTCATCAGAGAGTTCAAATGAGAAATCCTTGTGCGATCCGATTCCATCTTTGCGTTTGTGTTTTTCTTGTCTGGGAAATGACATTTTATGGGTAAGTTTTTCTGTTTCTGATTCAATTTCATCCTTTATTGATAATTTATGGATTCTATGTAGGAATCCTAGCATGCTGAAGTTAATAATTGTTGAGAATACTCCAGTCATGCTTCGTAGGGACCGAAAAGTTTTCTCACAGCTTTGTGAACCGAAGAGCCATGGAGAAAAATACTTGTCATTTAAAGGTACATGTATGTCTCTCAATATAATTATCAGAGCAAGTAAAGAATGTGCATTGATTTCAATGCAGGTGTAGGCATTGCTAGTTATGAAGTTGTTTTTCAGTGTAAAATTGGGTTGCATATGTAGCCATTGCCTCCAATATTGGATAAAAAAAACAGAAAACCATATTTCTTCTAGCCTTTTTTCAGGACTCATGGATTTGTCTAAAAAACTATAAACGCATGATTCCATCAAAATAATGTATGCTTTGGTCCCAGTAGCATCTGGTAAAGTGTCCAGTAAATGGGATGCTTTAATGATGTGCTCAACGGTGTCGAAATTCTGCTTATCTTTGTGGTCAAGATCTCTGTGTCATAATCCATGGATATCTTTACCTTTTTGCCCAACAAGTATGAGTAGATGTGCACTGCTGGCTATAAATCTACCTAATGGGAGAACAATTGATGGTTTTAGCAGTCGTGCTTTTAATTTCACTCCCAGGTGCACAATGTCTTGTGTGCATAGTAGGGGATATAGCTTGCTACAGAGCCACTTTTGTAAGGCAGGGTTAACATCAAGTGATTTCAAGCTCTTAGTTAAACTTAAGGAAGTAGCATCAGGTGCCAATCCATAGGTTATTTTCATGGCCCTTAGTAAACGAGAATCACCATCTGAAGCAAAGCTAAGCACCTGGATCCCTCGTAGAGCCAGCTGACTATATATGTGCTTCCATCGCAAAAGCACTTGATCAGAAGTAAATTTATTATCACTCCCAATGCAAGCAAGGGAAAATGATGGCACACCTTCCATTATAGATGTGGCGGAGTAAAGGTAGGCGTAGTTTGAGATAGGTTGTTCCCTAAACATTTCCTCAATTCTTTGAAATGAGCTTGCTCTGGTGGTATCAGGTTGCGGTATACCATTTTCATCACATGGCAATACAAATCCAACACACCTGTCTGTTACAGAATAGTACTCTACTCTCATAATGATCCTAGTTGCATCTTCAGCAACGGCTATGACAAGAGGTGAGTTATACTTTTTTAAATGCTGGAGTAATTGATCAAACCAGAATGCTCCTTCTTCAACTTTTGAATACTCAGATTGAACAATTAGTTGTATTGTTCTGAGTGAAGGCAAAGCCTCAGCCATATTTTTATGAATAAATTCATATGTCATTGATCCCGCAAGAATATAAAGTAGTGTTCCAAATTTTTTTATGACATCTGAATGACGTCGCTGCTTATCATTTTTTCCCAGATTTTGTTTTGCATTTTGCATCAAACTGTGTAAAATAGGTGTGATATTGTTGCAATGTTTTTCGTTTGTTGTTATAGTATTGATTGATTGTATAATATGAGCTAGTTTCTTGTTTTCATTTACTAGTAGAGCAATTTTGTTAACGATTTCAAAGTAATCAGTGATGTGCTCTTGTCTAGGATCAGCACTAGCAGCTTCCAGTTTCCTTTTCTTCGTGGCCCTTCGAGACCAGTCTACACGATTGATAGATGTTGCCCCTCCTTTAGTGCCAAAGGAGGGGCTTACTGAAAAACCTGAGTCGAAGGAGCTAATTCTTTTGGTGAGTAATTAATGCAACTTGGATAAGTACCTTGTTTGGTTTGTTTCAGAGGTGATGAAGGTGGTGATGAAGCTGGTTGTGTTTTTTCTGGTGAATTTGGAATGAGATTGGGTGGCAAAGGAGAAACAGAAGCTAGTTGTTGTGATAGTGACATAGATGATGAACAAAGTACAGGAGGTGATCTAGTACATGTAAACTGTGTCGTTATACATGTAGTACTATCTGAATTTCCAGTTGATTGTAATGCTGGTTGAAGGTTACCTTGTTTTATTGCAAATTTTTTGTGTAATGCTTCGGGTGATGAAGATGGTGAGGAAAGTAGTAATGAATTCGGGTGCAAGTGTGAAGGAGAAACAGATTCACAATCTTGTGATAATATGGCAGTAGAACAAGATACAGGAGGTAATACTTTGCAGCCGTTAGCTTTTCCAGCCGTTTGTAAGAACTGTTGCAGTGTACTTTGTTCACTTGGTTTTCTTGATTTCTTTTTTCCACATAGTTTCATGTGTCTGCTCCAGTTGGATATTAACCGCTCTCCTTTAGCATTTGTTGTAATTGAATATGAATTTCCACAACGACACGATATTGAAGCATTGCATTTCTCAGGATTAGATGTTGACTTTGATACAACAATATTAAAATCCACTCCCTCTTCTAAAGCTGCTAATTCTCCTTTGTTGTAGTTCTTTGTCCAATGTAATATTTTCCCTCTGATATCTTGTGAAACAACTGGTATATCTTCTCTCACCTCTGGATTTTTCACTGTTTTACGCTTTTTAGATGGAGGAGGTGATATTTCAAGATTGCTACCAGAGGCTTCAGATGCTGGCTTATGTTTCTCATGAACTGATCTGATGAACTTAGATATTACTTTTCGATGACCAGGTGGAAATTCGAATGGTGTCTTAGCATCTGAGGCATCATCATAGTTTGGTCTCATGCATGATGGTAAACGCTGTTTTTGTTTGTCGATGTATTTTTCTATTTCTGAAATAGATACGTCACCATCCATTTCACATATTGCATCTAATGTGTCGTATCCTGCTGCCTCGAAGCAGTTTATGATGTAAGTAGGTATGAGTGACTTTTTCATCATGCTTAATACACTGATATCAGAGCTACATGTCTGTGATCCATCTAATTTATTTTTTAAATTATAAATAATTGTCATAGCTATGTTATATTACCTGCTCTCTTCAACATTATCTATATAGTCCATAGTGCAAATCAATGATTAACAAGATTAGTTGACAGTATATATAACCACTAAGATGTTGTAAGTGAAATAAAGACACCTATGAGGTGTGAAACCAGCTGATAGTATTTGAAAAGGAATCATTTACCATACCTGTAAAAGTAATTTGTCAAGAACAAATAAAAGACTGAAGTTTTAACAGCTACTGTGTATACTATCCACAAATTAACTGTATCTTGCGGCTCAATGACAAGGTATAGCAATGGAAGGAAGGCCAATAAGGTACCTATAAGGTTTTTGTTAATTTAATGATGAAAGCAGCATTAAATTTTCTTACCTGGGTAAGTAAAGTTGGGCTGAATCTATGAATGAATGAATGAGAGACTGCTAGCTTGATCTGCTTTGTACTGCTAGTTAATACTGTGTATATCTAAATGGTAAACTAAAACACTTTAATGAATTATTTTGCTTGTACTTGTATGTAATAATCAATCCTTCTTGTCTAGTTTCTGAAATTCTGTCAATGTCCTAGGATCCAGTCTATCAGTACTCACTGAGTACTATGTCTCAACAATCACCACAAAAGGAATAGGGATAGATGTAATAGTTGTGAAAACAACTGGTAAATTCTATTTGCAACAGCTACACAGATCAATGAAGAACAGAAGAGAAAGGTATAAACTCGAAGTCAATGAAGAACGATGAAGAATAAGATAGCAATTATCTCAGGATGATAGGATCATGATAATCATTAATAATTATTATAAAATTATTTTATTATAAATAATCAATAAACTTTAATGATATTCACTAGATAAATCAGTATACTACTGGATATTGTTCTTGATTATTTTCAGGATTACTGGATTATTGAATGATTATCTGAGATTTTCAAGATTATCAAGATTATCTTCTGATTTTCAGGATTATCTGGATTTTAAAAGATTATAGGATTAAAAATCTGATTATTTTCAGAGTGTATGGGATTATTTAGCTGTTGCGGACCCCTCGCTGTAGTCTCTACTGTCATGCACTGCAGTCACTGTAGTCTCTAGTGTCACTGTAGTCTCTAGTGTCACTGTAGTCTCTAGTGTCACTGTAGTCTCTAGTGTCACTGTAGTCTCTAGTTTCACTGTAGTCACTGTAGTCTCTACTGTCATTGCAGTCACTGCAGTCTCTTGTCACTGTAGTCATTGTAATCTCAAGTGTTACCATCTGCAGTCTGTAGTCTCTACTGTCACTGTAGTCACTGTAGTCTCTAGTGTCACTGTATAGTCTCTATAGTGTCACTGTATAGACTAGTCTTTAATGTGGTCACATGCAAAAGCACATGTTCCAGTTGGGTTAAACTATGGATAAATTCCTTGTTGTGATACTCTTAATTATATCATCATTTGAAGTATCTCATTCTGTAGTTCGTCCTGAAAATGGAAATTATATTGTAAGGTCTTGATTTGTAATCATGAGGAGTCACCATATTCTCCTCAAGTACTAGAACCGACATCTATCAATTTGGTAGGTGAATAATCACTGCTTCCCTACTTACATTTGTTACCTCAAGTCATTGTATGGGATGTATTGACTCAGTTTGATCATTTTATTCAAATTTTGGGTTTTTTTGCCTAAAATGTAAAAACAAACTACATC